CACATGCCTGGGTTGTGAGCCAGGTCCCCAGTAGGGGGCGTGCGAGAGGCAACCACACATTGATGTTTCTCTACCTTTCTTTCTCCCTCCTTTCTTCTCTCCAAAATAAAGAAATAAATGAAATCTTTAAAAAAAAGTAAGAGAAAGAAATACTGACCCCTTCGAAAATACCCCCTGCAGTGCCCCCCCTGCAATTGAGAAGAATGAAATATCTACCAAAGGTGGATTTACTAGTTATACAGCAGATTCCGTAGACCCCTGATCAAATAATAATTGTTTCTCCTGGAGAATTTATATCTATTGTAGCCCTTTACCTGCATGTTCAAAGTACTGCTTCTGACTTGATTCATTAATTCCATTTTATTTCTCATACAAACACAAAACAAACTCTTCTCTTTCTGTTCAATAAGAGATTCTGGTTCATCGTGCTTTGCTGGGTATCTGGATAGGTTTGTGAGAAAGGCAGACGGGCCCTGGTATGGAATCAATGAAAACCCTAATTAATTCATTTGGGTGTTTCATGATATTGGTGGATTTATAATGTATTCCATTTGTGTCTTAACCTGGTTAGGGTTCACTTGCAGCCAAAAGTGCTAATTAATTCAGATTTTATGGACTTAAATCACTCCCTTAACCTGTCCCAGATTTGCAGAGGCTCCTACACACTCATTCACTAGCAGGTAAATAAGAACCAAGTACCCCCAATATATTCTGGGGCCAAAAGCTTCATCCACAGGGTAAAAGTTCAGAAGCCCATAACAGAGCTGTAAACAGGCAGCCATCACACAGTTAAGGCACCAGTGGGTGTGGTTAAGTGGGCCAGTGGGTGGGCTAAGCAGAGCAGAGCCCATTGCAAGGGAAGTCCTTCTTCTGTAATGGAGAGGTACCAGGAACATGAGGGTTGTCCAACTCTGGGACTCGTGAAAAGCCAAGAGGCACTAGCAAGCCAGCAAAGAGTAGTTCTGTCTTATTACTGTGCAAAGTGCATTTGCATAGTCTCTGCCCTCAAGGAGCATTTAACCCAGTTGAATTGGGGCAGAAAGGAATGTTTTAGAGTTGTCTAACCCTTTTTCCCAGGCTGCAGGCTAAACCACCTACTCCATTAGAGAATGTTTTTTAACCTGAACACTGAGCAATATTGCTTCCACCTAAGAAAAGGAGAGTGGCAAATGTGTGTGTGTGTGTGTGTGTGTGTGTGTGTGTGTGTGTGTGTGTGAAAGTACAGATGTAGGTACTTAGATATGAATACCCCTCACCACACAAGGATATGTAAAATGCAGACACAGTAACGTCATATTTACCCCTCCTGGAGTCTGGAGTTAAACTACCTGGGTTTTCATCCTACCCTTCCATGACCTTTGAGTTTGGAAAGTGATTCAACTTCTCTCTGCATCAGTTTTCTCATCAGTATAATGAAGATTATAATAGTCTTTATTACTAATAAGTAGTACTGATGATAGATAGTACTCATTATAGTCGCCATGACATAGAGTTTTCCTGATTTTAATTAAGATAACTCACACAAGACGCCTATTGCTGTGGCTGTGCCCAGGGCTGCCCCCACATGCTTCTTTCTGTGACTGAGAGCCTTGCTGTAGAGAAATCTCAATCCTTCTCCTAAGAGCTGGATGAAATTCGAAAATGTGCTGACCTTTTGTGTGTATGTATATATACAGATATCAATATGAAAATCATTATCACTAGTGTTCTGTTAGAGTTAATTTAATGCTACCTATTGAGCTATAAGCATATATTTTTGCAGGTAATAAGTATATGATGAACAGCAGTTATTATTAGTAGTATTACTGTTATAACAGAATGACACCTGGATAAACACATAAAAGTTCGCTGGGAAATTTGCTGCAGTATATTTGCAGTGTCTAGGCGTGAGTGTGCCACAAAATTGGACCTGGGTTTTCTAGTAGTCACCATAAAATGGGCAATGTTGCTGTTACACCATCACTGTATCTACTCAGCAAATACTAATCACTATCGAAGGTGAAACTACCCTGGTTACTAGGACCTGGGAGTCAGTTCTCTCAGGAGTCTTTATATACAGTAGACTGTGGGGAGCAGAAACCCATAATCTCAACAGCGACCTTGCAGGAGACATTGGTATGAGACCAATATCTTACATAGCATGACAGCACCACAAAAAAAAGACATCATTTAGTAAAACAATTCTGTAGGGGCAGAGGGTGGCGGTAACTGCACATATTCCAAGTACCTGGCTCCTTCCACATCTTGTTCGACCCTGAGGAAACTGTATACAGAGAGATTTTTTTCATAAAGAACTTCACATTCTGCAAACAATTCTTCCTCAGCAGTGTGTCTCTCAACAGATTTTTTGATAAACATTGGGCAGTAAGATCAGAAAGACAGTCTGAGAGATAGAAGATGAGAGGGAGAGAACAGTATTTTACATCCTATTGCAAGTTCTAATGCCCAACAACAACTCATTATCATAAGGAAAGTCTAACCTGAATTCCCTTTAGAGAGTAGAAGCCCACTGCAGTTACCCTGTTCTGAGAGAAGATGGGGACTCTCTGGTCAATGTCATTCATAGAATAACATGTACTGGAAGATAGTTCAAGTTTCCTTCTGGATTTTTAATGCATATGGTGACCATATGTTACTGCGGTTTAGATGGATTTGTGAGCTGTGGTTTATCATAATACTTGTACTGGACTTTGCAAAATGAACTCATCCTATTAAATATGATTTGCACAGATTATTGAGTCAAAATATTGTCCCAGTCATTCCTGATAGTAAAAGCAAAAGCACACATACTCCCTTCCAGAGAGAGTAATGAACACTTTATTTCCAGCATACGGATTGCATCCAAGAGGCAAAGCTCTAAAGTGTTATAGCAAATACATACCTGTAAAAAAGCGAGAGGTAATTCTTCTTAAACAAATATTATAACTGAACATGTTAAATTATGTTAAACTTAGTTCAAGCTTGCTTAACAGTATTTACCTTGGGGGCTGGGTGTGTTCAATTCTGAGATGCAATTCAAGTCAACAATTCAAATTCTAAAAGATCATGCTTGCAACTGATGTTCTCTTTTTATAACATACTTTTTTAAACTATTTTTAATTATCCTACAGATTTCAAATAACCACTAGCTGAAAATGTGATAGAACTTGAGTTTTCAACCTGCTGAAAAAAATAAGTGTGATCTCAACATGCCTATTCATTGGCTACTAAGTAAAGCAAGTTTGGGTGTGTCTTCTCGATTTTAGAAAAATGAGTCTAATTTCCATGAGACAATGTGAGGCACTGTTAGTAGGCTTTTACCTGTGAGAGAAGAGCACAGAGGGCAAATAGTCATTTTTGTTTTTTCCCATGCACATGACGGGAAGGAGCACACTTCACATACACGCCACTGGTGCAGGCTCAGGTGTGTGTAGATGTCCCACTCTCCTTTCCAAGGCTGAGGGGAAGGCACCAATGGTTCTGCTTCCAACCGAGGAAGGAAATGGATGGCAGCCCAGGAAAGAAACCCTCAAGTTTTATCTACTTGAAACAAAATAGTCCCTGCTCCAGCATGGACAGAAGTAACACTGATGCTTTCTGATGCTCACACTTATTCTGCAAGTCCTGTGGGATGCACAGATTCATTTCAGGCACAAACTGGTAGGAATGGGCTGGAGCTGCAGTTCCAGACACCAGTGTATTTGACTACTGTCTTGAAGAATGGGACATGGTCACTGGGATTTCTCGATCCTCAGTATGTATGGGGGAAGAGGGTGATGTAAAAAGTGTTTTTTCATTTTTGTTCTTTTTTTGTATTTTTAAATTTTTCATTTGTGTTTTTAAGTGTGTAATTGTCATGCGAGTCATTTAGCAGGTCACAAAACCTTTCTTTGTTAACAAAAGAATTAGGCTTTTATTAAAATCTGAGTGCTGTATAAGTATTTGTGACTTATGTTGGGCAAGTTATGAACACAACATACATGCATCCCTCACAGTGTTCAAAACAGGACTTGGAGCAGAGGCTCATGGTCTCTACCCAAGTAACATCTGAAGCTATAATAATGTCATTTCTAAGGTTTTGTTCAATTGCTTTTCCATTTGTGTTCCTTCTTCCCTGGAAATATAACTCTAGATAATTAATGAACATGTAATTTTTTAATGTAAACATTTATGACACCATGTAAAAATCTACAAGTATTTTCCAAGAAATACTAGTAAATGCAAAGAGAACAATGAAGAGTTTCCAGTATCACCTTCATCTGAAATATTTAATCTCATCAGGTAAGTACACTCTACCCAACTTGGGGAAATGGCTAACTTATTGATGGATGTGAAGAAACTAGATCTGGTCAGAGAATCTGAACCAAAGAATGGCAAATTTAGTGGTGATAGGTATTTCATAAATACCTCCTGTTCAAACTGTCTATCGCTGCTTTACAGACTATCCATATGCTGGCAATTCCGAGGATGGGGGGGCGAGTTTCTGCTGCTCCCACTGGGGATCAGTTGGGTGATTGCAGCCATCAGGCAGCTCGACAGGGGCCACAAGGTGCCAGAGAGCCTCCCTCGCATGCCTGGCAGGGGTGCTGACAGCTGACTGGGGCACTTCGCTGGTCTTCTAAGTGGCCTCTCATTCTCCAGGGGCCTAAACTGGGCTTCTCGCAGCCTGGCATAGTCTCAGGGCTCTGGGATAGTGAAAGAGGACGCGTAAGGCCTACCAAGATCTGGGCTCCAGAGTTTGCACACCAACATTTCTGCCACTTTTGGGTCAATAAAAATCACATGTTTGGCCCAGATTTAAGGGGTAAGTAAAATAGAGTTCACCCCTTGGTGGGAGGAGCAACAAAAAAAACGCTGCAGAAGGCATGATTCATTAGGGGCCATTATCTAACAGTCTATACCACATCTCTGAATTATTTGATTGAAATAAAAAGCATCCTATAAAACAAGTTATTTGGTTTTAAAAATCTTTTATTGCAGTCATTTAAGCAGCAGGATAAAAATCTCAGTAGGAGCGACGGTACCAGAGTCGCAGAGGTTATAATTCCTGACAGAGCTGTGCTTTCTGGTTACTGAACATGGCCATTCCTCGGTGCTCTGCCCGAGTGCTCGCTGGCACGTGGCAAAAGCTCAAGGAATGTTTATTGAACAAATGACAGAAGAAATAATGGTGTATAATGTACTAACAAATATACAAAAAGTCAAATAGGATACATATTTGAAAAGCAGTTCTTCAATTCGTCATCAAGAGTTTGAATCAGACCTCTAGCCCATCCGTCAGTTCTCCTCTTTAGTTCCTCACTGCTGCAAGTTTGGTACTGCATCACTGCTTGCTCTCCTGTAAAATAAAATGATGAATGCAGGACTTTTCTGGGAGTACAAAGGAGTCCTTTAGGACAAAACTGTTGATTCCCATTGACTCTTAATGGTTAATCCATATAAGGTTAATACATTCTCCCTGTTTAAAAAACAATGGCTTCAAATTGATCACAAGTTCCCAACTTTTGGTCACATCAACTAAAAAAATGTTTGTTGAAATTGTAGCCACTGTAAAAAATCAAAAGTTACCTGCAAGAGAATTAATTAGAGAAAGGAACATTCTTCTGAAAATTATCATATCAATGGCAACAATATGAAGCACTAAGTGGTGAGGGAGGGACCACCATTGGCAATGTCAGTCTGGATGTACACGTGCACATATTTGCACACGCATGTGTGCTGGCTACCTGGCATCCCAGCACTCCTGTGATTCTTGAGACACCCCCCCCCCCAGTGAAGCTTGGTGGCAGAAAGCCAGGTACTGTCCATCTTCACCTTTGGCAGCTAAGATATACACTTCTGACCCTTTTTGGCCTTTAAATCTTGAAACAGTGATGTGAAAGCACATGGATAATTGAGAAAATATTTACAATAAATGGCAGCAACATCCTAATGAGCCCAGCAAGGCAAGGGGGAGAGGCCAGGCAGAGCAGAGCGTGAGTGCTGTGCCCTCCCCAGGCAGCTGCGATGCTCTGACTTCAGCTCCTCCCTCCGAGCTCAGAGCCTGCCTTGCTACTCACCACCAGACCCTGGCTTTCAGTTTATGAACTACCTACTTGCCTTCCCTATTTGAAGGGAATTTTTTTTCCACTGAACTCTGTGACTCTCTGCCCCTGAAAATTCGCTGATACAGGGAACCACATATTTTTATGGTTTTCCTCATTTAATTTACCCCTTCAAACTGATATTAAAGTGAATCAAATGAATGCGTTGAATGAGTATCTGAAATCCCACCTAATTTTGAAATCCTTACATCAGGAACTAATAGGATGTAATGAATTCTGAAGAGTTAAACTTTTTCCAGATGATTGGTTTTGACCCGAATTCACCATGTTATGAAAAAGAGCTGTTGCATCTATATTTACTTCTAGAGATTTGAGGACACCAAGCATTAACTCATAACGCTCAAAAGGGCCTGTTCCAAGGAGAAGAGACCAAAGCATCTGCTTCATTACTCAAAGTAGAGAGCTCAGTCCTCAAAAAGTAAGCTGCCCTGCCCTGGCTGCATGGCTCAGTTGGTTGGAGTATCACACCATACACCAGAAAGCTGCAAGTTAGATACCTGGTTGGGGGTACATACAGGAGGTAACTGATGTCTGTCTCTGTCTTTCTAAAAACAATTGACATATCCTTGGGTGAGGATTTTTTCAAAAGTACGGTGTCCCCTTGCACAAAATGCTGGGCAGCACTGCACAGCGGAGTAAAGCCAGACTCTGAAGCCAGGCTGCTGGGTCCAAATTTTCATTTTTCCACTTAGTACCCATGTGCCTTTGATGGAGTCATTTCCCATCTCTGTACTTAATTTTCCTCGTCTGAGACTCTGTAGCCAAAGGGTCCATGAAGGTTAAATGGCAATATGTACAAATCACATAATCTTAGCACATGTTTATCTCTATACTGTTTAGAAAATAACTGAGGTGCAAAAATAAAATGCATATAGCATTTTACATACTTGTATCTAATCTTAGAACATATTATAAACAACAATGACAAAAATTCTTTTTTCAGAAGCATAAAAGTTATGCATTACAATAAGATGAAATCCTTGCTCAAAATCTGTAGGCATTCATTCATTTATTCACTCAGCCACAGCGCGGTGAGGCTCTGTTATGTGCCAAACACTGTGTTGCCCATGACACTGGGCACGGAAGAAAAATTCAGAGTCACTGCCTTCAAGAAGTTTAGTTTGAAGCACTTGAGCATCCTCACCCTCAAATAGTTGAGATAATAAAAAAGTACAAAATTTATTTATTTCTTTGTGCCCATCCAAAGCAAGTATTGGCAAAATTTTCTTTTCTGTCAGAGTCCAGGGAGTAAATACATTAACTTTGTGGGTTCCATGATGTCTCTCCATCACAAACATTGTCCTCCACCACGGTAGCACCTGTGCAGCTGCGGAGGACACATCAGTGGCAAACACAGACAGACAGAGGCCCGATTTGGCTCATGAGCCATCATGTGCCAGTCCCTAAGCTAAAATGTCTTATGATTGTCATCCTTACAAAGCATCACTGACTCCTTGAGACCAGAAGAAGAAAACTCACTGTCCACTTTTATTTACTAACACACTTGTCCCCCAGCCTTAGTCACTGACTGGGAACAGCCACAACAGCAGGCAAGGAAGCAGAAAGCCATGGGTACCTTTCAAGGCTTCACAGGTACATTATGAGCAGAGAAAACTTCAAAATCTGAGCTGCACTCAGATTTTTCATGTTGCTAATCATGATTAATTCCTTTTGTATTTATTGTAGGAACATTAATCATGATTAATTCATTTGGTTTGAATGTGGATATAACATTTAATTCCTCCCAAATTTCAGAGGAGCCTATTTCAATGAGTAATTGAACAAAAATGAGTTGCAGAAGGAAGAAAGGAACAGTTTGCAGCGCTGAGCACAACAGGCAAGATGAAGTAGAACTGACACTGGACGCCACAATAATCAGCGATGCCTCACGGTGAACCGGCGTTTGCAAGAATTCAGGAGACTCCAGAGACAGGGAATGACATACCTCAGGTCAATGCGCAATTGTTGCTGGTCCTCTGCTCTCCGCTTCTGGTCCTCTTCCCAGAGTGAAGAAATGGCAGAGTGACATTTCTCAATCACAGCAGGAAAAAAAACTCTCAGTTGAAACTACAGATGTCTGAAATTATTTCTTTATAATGCTTTTTTTTTGCAAGGTCAAAACAATGGTTTGTCATTCTCCCTTTCTCTGTTCAATATGCATATATTACTGTTTGGTCAGAGTATCAGTTAGTGAAAAAATGATGTCATTAATTGATCTGTTTTCCATCCCTAGTGCCGAATCCATGTTTCAGTTTTTAAAAACTGTCCCTTCCCTCTGTGTAATACCACAAACTGTATCAGGAATTGCCATGTAGAACAAGTCGGGGGTGGAAAGATATGAAATGTATACAAACTAAATTCTATTACAATACCCAGAAACAACCACATTCTCTTGCTCACTCTAATTGTAAATGTTATTTCAGTCTTTTCCATTTTCTGCTACTGCTGGTGACATTTGAACTGAAAATTTCAAGACAGAAAGAGAAAAGGCTTGACTCTTTTTTTTCAATCCTCCCCCAAGGACATGCTTATGGATTTCAGAGGGAGAGGAAGGGAGGGACAGAGAGAGAGAGAGAGAGAGAAACATCGATTAGTTGCCTCTTGTACACACCCTGACTAGGGAAGGAACCCACACCCTACGCATGTGCCCCAACTGCAGAATCAAACCCACAACATTCCAGTTTGTGGGACTACATACCAACCAACTGAGCCACACTGGCCAGAACCGAGGCTTGGATTCTTAAACCACAGGGCAAATGAGTGCAACTAGGCAAGGAAAAAAACCATATTTCCCTCCCACCTGCCCTTGTCCTTCTTTCTTCTTCTTTTTTTTTCTTTTAAATAGACTTGTCTTCCCTGCAACACAGCTTAGCTAGGACACACCATTCACATTCCCAGGTCACCTGGTAATGAAGGCTATTGTTGCATCTCCAGTGTGGACTTCTCATATTCCTTGAGGGTTGGTTGCTGTTCTTGGGCACCATATGCTACACAGAGTGTTATATCGTGGACGATAGCTACACATTTACCTACACATTCAGACTGTGAGCTCCTTGAGGTCCTATTCCTGATCCATCTTTGTGTCCTCTCTCCTGGTTCTGTGCCTAGCACACACAGCCTGACACATGGTCTAGTGTGTGAGTACACGTGTTGTTTTGAGATGATAACCTCACATCTGAGCACTGGCTTGCCTTTCTTCTGCTTGTTTTTCCTTTTCATTGATGACCTCTTCTTTCTAGCCCAAGGGATAGATACAGAGTAAAATAAAATAGAAAAATATGGCTCTTATAATATTTTTGCCATGTTAATTTTCAGTTCAAAAGTTTGCAGCAGTTGATATTTAATATTATTAGACAGCCCAGCTTCTTCAGCCTTTTGCTCTCTATCACTTAGTCCCACCATAATAATTTCTCTTGCTGCTGTACCCAAAGGACTATGCACATGGTCCTTTCTTCCTCCCAATGACTGATTTTTCCATTTTTCACTTCAGCTTCTCTCTCCCAACTTGTAGCTACTTCCAACTAAACAAAACAGAACAAAATAAACCAACAAGAATAATAAAATTGCTCAAATTTTCTGTTCTAGGATTCTTCTCTTGTTTATTTCTTTTCTGACAAATATTTCCTTAAGTTGTCTTTCTCAGCTCTTGTTTACTACCCTTGTTTGAATGCTGCCATGTGAGTACACTTAAATCCACTGCATAGATATGTCATTTGCTTCATGATCCTTAATAGCAGCATCAACCAAGAAGTAGCTTCAGGGGCAGCATCTCTGCTGTCCCTTCTTAGCCAAGGGGTTTGGGTGGGATCAACCCACACTCACTTTCAGACGTGTGCCCTAATTCACCCATTTCCTCTGGCCAAGGAATTGGTTCAAGGATGGGAATGTAATCCTCTCAAACTCAATGACTTCATAAAAGATACTTGTTGATATTCTAAAAAAAAAGAGCTTCTCTCATCTCTAAAAGTTAAGAATCAGTCTTCCTTTTCTGATTGGCATGTGGATGATGTGCCCACCAGGACCATGGGGGAGGTGTCCTGGTGTCCTGAGAGGGGGGCAGAGCTGCTGTGACCAACATAACCCCTCTTGAAAGACAAGACCGGATGGACCACAAGAAATTATGTCCTAATGATGGCATTTAAACTGCCAAAACAAGTTGCCACTGAAACCAACCTCTGCTTTTTTGGTTACATGACATAACAAATTTCCTTTATTGTTTTGGCTCTTCTGCACTGGGTTTGCTACTACTGAAAACTACAGGGTTCCTCACCGATGTGTGCGGCAGGGCCATGAGTCAGCGCGGACCCGTGTGGGAATCCTGACTGCATCTCGTATCAGCCTGAGCAGTCACGTGAACTCAGTGTCTCTGTCTTGGTTTTCTCATCTGAAAAATAAATATAATATCTATTTTGCAGAGCTTATATCACTATAAAAGACATCTATAAATCTGGCTCATAAGGGGGCTCAACCAATGTTAGCAACTGTTACCTTTATCAATTTAGGTTAATCTACAAGTCCTAGTACTTCACACATTCATAGATACTCAACACAACTGTCAGCACTGATTGTTAATAAAATACACACATGTATGTGAACATCTGTGTGTGTGCATTATACACACATGTATCAGTATTCTACGCCACAGGTCTGGAATGAGTCATGATTCACCAGAAGTAGGTAGCGAATAGCTATTTGCAAAGCTGGATTATAAATCTCTGATTTAATAAACCTTTCTAAGGCTACAGAGTTTTATTTGCACTTGACAGAGATCTGTGGAACTCTTTCCAAGTTGTGACAAGAAGCCATTTTTCCCCACTTTGATGAGCTCATACTGTTGCTGGACTGTATCTTGTAAATCAGGGGAAATCATCACACAAGTTCTTCTGGAGGAATTGGATACGTCAGCTGATCTCTGCACCATTAATTTCCAGTTGCTCATTTTATACAAATTACATTAGTTCCTCCCTGGATGGAAGCTGGAGGAAGAATGATGGAGCACCTGAAAGGGAGGAAAGGTTAATGGAAAGGCACACTGTTTTCTTGGGTTTCAGTTACAGCAGGAATAGAAGAAAACATTTTATTATGACCATCAGTTCGGATGTATTGCCATCATGGAGTCTAAGGACTTTTATCTAAAAAATCAGGACGTCCGATTTTAATTTCCAGATTGTGTTGGTAATATAGCAAACACAGGCTATTTCTCCTATTTCCAAAAGGAGGGAAATGTAGTCTCTCTTTTCCTGGTGATGGACCAACACCAATGAGGGGAAAGCAGTATCTGAAATGCTAAGGGGCAGGTGGTTGATTGCACAGTCGTCCAGATCCAGGACCTGCTAAGTGTTTACCATCCTGAGATGTGAATGGGGACAACGTGCTGGGGACATAACTTTAGGTTTATCTGATGACTTGTCAGCAAATGCTGTAACATTTTCATCACTCAGGATGATAAGTTTTGCTGAATCAGGAAATAACTTGTTTTGAGGCATGCAGTTGTCTGTGTGTGTCTTGTAAACAATCTGGGGGGTAGGTGAATCGAACAACAAAGGGCAGCTTTGCAGATCACAGCCCAGGATGATTGCTTGACAAGCCTGTGCCAACTCTGCTGGCGAACAAATAAAATGAGCCATTCCCCTTCTCTGAGGACTCTGTATTTTTAAAGGGGGATAATAAATGCAAAGCTGTGCAAAGCCTGGCTGGGGGAAATGTGAAATCCATCTCTCCTCATTTGCATAAAATAATCAGCAGGGCTCTGATAATCAGGCTGGGGGAGGCAGCTGGAATCTGTGTTCCGTGGAGATGTCCTGAAGCAAGGCCCAAAGTACCTGCTGTACATTCCTGAGCTAGACCCCAGGTGCCTGGCATCCCTTGAGACACTCCCCTCCCCAGGACTGAAGAGCACTAGAGCTGGCACCCTGTCTTCACCAGTTCTTCCGAGACAAGCCAGGACCACACCACAGTAAGGCCTGCCTGCATTATCTGTTCCTGTCCTTTGAAAAAAACCTGACATTTGTCCAACTCATAACTGTGTGCATGGTGACATGACTGAGTGGGAGCATTTCACACTATTTCTTGCTTTGTGCATGGATGACTCATATTTCAGGGATATAAGTCTGGCCATTTCAGAAGGTGTCTCAAGACTAAGGTAATTCTTATCATTGTAATTCTACAGCACAAAGTGCTACAGGGTCCACTTTGCATTAATGTTTCCATGGAAATCAGATACTTGACATTTTATTTAAACTATTAATCTAGAATGGCTCACCAGCCTATGAAAGTCAAACCCCACGGTTTTACTTTTGGAACCAACACCAAACCATTATGTAAGGGGCAGAATTAACTTTCAGCATCTCAAAAATCCATAGGCAGGACAGGTGCTAAACACATCACAAAACATAAGCTCACTCCAATTGCTCCCTTTGGGGCCTCCTTTTGTTACTTACATTCAAAAGAGATGGCAAGGGCTGGGCTTCCTCCGCCGGCCCCCTCCACCCTTGCCAGGGCCCTCCACACCAGCCCCTGCGCACTGCAGCTCTAGAGTCGATTCAAACTGCGTATGATTAAAAGATGGAAATATTCCCCATGGACACTGGGCAATTTATTTGTGAAAAAGATTTAATGAAGAATTTCAAAGCAGCCAGTGCCCCTACAAAGAAAGCTCATTTGTGAATCTCTATGTTCTCTCTGCTGCCCTGAGTGCATCTGAGGGGAGGAGGAGGAGCCGGTCCCTGCAGCTATTGCCAAGCGTATCACATGTGAGTTTCTCAAGATATAAATATTCCCAGGCAGCCAAAGGCATTAGAACAGGCTGTTTTTAGATGGTCACCTCTAGTCTGGGCCGCCCCCACCCCCGGCCAGTTTGGGAGAAAGGCTGTCTGCCTTCAGTCTCCTTGAGGTCTCGCTGGGTCCAAGTTCCCACACCTCCATGGTATCTGCCCAGTGACCCTGGACAGCTCCAGATGAAGCCACCCAGACTCGCTCCTGAAGGTCTCTGCTTCTTTCCTCATCACAAAATGGCTTTGTCTCATCTTTCTATGACTTAGTATTTGGATCCTAGCTGATATAACTGCCCACCTACTCACATGATAATAATGGTCAGTAAAGAATAATAAAATTTTGTGTCCTGGAACATTTAAGCTTTAGAGTAAGAGGGACGTGAATCCTTCCTTATGAGCTGTCTGACCTTGTACAAATTATTTACACTCCTTGGGCCTCAGGCATCTTACATATAATTTGGAGAAAAATAATTTTTCACTTAAAAGATTTGTTTGCGCATGTGAATAAGATAATGAATATAAAGCTCTTAAATGCCATCTAAATTGCTGGTTATTATTTGTAGCAGAGGAAACCCAAGGACACAATATTTTAATCCAAATAAATAAATTCAAGTACATTCAATGTGCAAGAGAAGACTAGTCAAGCCTTTCAGGGCCGCTACAATTGCATCAGAAAGTGATATCTACAAACTCAGTATAATCCAACCCCAAATCTGTGCAGATTTCATATAGAAGTTGACAAGCTGGCTCTAAAATTGATATGGAAATGCAAATGACCTAGAATAACCAAAGCAGTCTTGAAAAAAAAGGGCACAGTGAAATTTATTATAAGTCACAGTAGTCAACAGTAGGACTGGCATAAGAATCAACATATAGATCATTGGAACAGAATGGAGAGCCCAGGAATGAACCCACACTTGGATAGTCATTTGATTTTTTACAAAGCTGCTAAAGCAAGCCAAGAGGGATGTCATGTTTACAAATGTTGCTGGAACAATTGGATATCCATAAGAAAACAAAAGCAAAAATCACAAATCCCATCCCTACCTTGTATTACCATGCACAAAAATTCATTCCAAATGGAACATATCTAACGGTAAGAGATTTTAAAGAAAAACAGGAAGATATCTTCGTGAATTGAGAAAGCAATAATCAAAATTAGAAACTTCTCTTTTGTTTATTAAAAAACGCAGATCATAAAAATAAGCCAAAGACTGGGAGAAAATGTTTACAAAACATATTTGAGGAAGACTTCATAACCAGGGTATATGAAGAAATCATTATATACCTCAATAATAAAATAGAGAATGAAAGCAATATTTGAAAACTTGGCAAAAGAAGATATACAAATGACCAATAAGCAAATTAAAAAATGCTCAACAGCAAGGTTGGGGGTGGGGAGGAGGGTAGAGAGATTGAGCAAAAAAGAAAAAGGTCTCACGGACATGGACAACAGCATGGTGATTGTGGAGAAGTGGGGCATAAGGGGACTAAGTGGTATTGAAAAAGTACAATAAAAAGTAAAAATGCTCCACATCTTCTTTCATTAGGGAAATGTAAACTAAAACCACAATGTGATACCATTAAATATCATGAGAATGGCTAAAATTAAAAGACTGATGAAAGCCCTGGCTGGTGTGACTCAGCTGATTAAGCACCGCTGGTGAACCAAACAGGTGCTGGTTGTATTCCCCAGTCAGGGCACATGCCTGGTTGTGGGCCAGGTCTCCAGTAGGGGGCGTGCGAGAGGCAGCCACACATTGATGTTTCTCTACCTCTATTTTTCCCTCCCCCTCTGGCTAAAAATAAATAAATAAAAATTTAAAAAGTAAAAGACTGATGAAAGCAAGTGCTGGCTTATACATTTTGATGTGTTCTGTAAGATTCTGATAACACTAAATTTATACCCTACATTACCCATAATCTATGATCCACACATAGGTACTGACCCAAGAGAAGTGAAAACTGTGTTCACAGAGATACTTGTACAGGAATGTTCATGGAAACTTCATTACTAATAACCCCAAACTAGGAATAATCTGGGTGTTTATGAACAAGAGAATGAATAAACAAACTATGGTATATTAACACAATCGAATACTATTCATCCATCAAAAGAGATTAGTAACCAGTACATACAACAATATCAATGAAGTTCAAAAACATGTTTAAGTGGAAGAAGCCATATATTCAATAAAATATGCCATGTGATTCCATTAATGTGAATTCTAGAATAGGTAAAACTAATCAATGGTGGACAGTACCATAAGTTGTTGGAATTGGGGATTGGTTATTAAGAGGCATAGATACAATATTCTTGTCTGGATAGCAATTCAAATTACATAGATTTGTATATCCATTAAAAATTTGTGAAAATGCCATTAAGAGTTACACATTTTAGAATATCTAAACTTCATTTCCCCCCAAACTATAATAAGTATTGAATTTTAGTTCATAATGTACATGCTGAAGTGTCTGCATTTGCTTTGAAAAGTGACAAAAATCAGATGGATATAAGTATTGACAGAACACTGGATAGACTGATGAGTATGTAATAAAGTAAGCAAATTAAAAATGTTAATGGTTCAATCTGGAGAGTTTTCACTATAAAAATCTTTCATGTGTATGTTTGAAAATTTTCAAAATAGACTTCCGCCAAGATGGAGGCATAGGTGGGAATACTTTTCATCCTCGCACAACCAAATCTAAAAACAACAAAGTTTTAACAACAATAAACATAACCAAACCACACAGAAAATCAAATACGGAGTCCAGAAACAACGGACCACTCAGCTAATCCAGTGAGAGGGGCAAAACCAGCAGCAGAGCCAGTTGGGCAAAAAAGATCCGGGCGGTGCACAGGCAGCCGGGGGTGTGGATCCCAGGTGCCGGCTAGCTACGGGCAGAACCCAGGGAAGAGGTGCTGCTGGCTGTCTGCGGTCGGTCGCACATTTGCATGCAGATAGACCAGTGAAGAAGCGAGCATTGAGACAGATCTCGCAGACCTCAGCAACTGGCGCAGGGCAGCAGACTTGCACGTTTGCGCTCGGATAAGCAGGCAGGGGCGAGCAGTGAGGTGGACTGGGCATGCAGAGAGGACCGCCATTGCTCCTTCTCTGACCCTGCCCCCACATACAGCATCAAAACCTACGACCTGGGTGGCCCCGCCCTGGTAAATACCAAGGCGCCTCTCCTCGTAGGTAACAAGCACAAACACATCAAAACATGGCTCAAGAACAACTCAGAGCCCCAGAGCCGATAAATCTAAGTGACCAAGAAATAGCCAAACTTTCAGATGCACAGTTCAAAACACTGGTGATCAGGATGCTCACACATATGGTTAATTATAGTCACAAATTAGAGGAACATATGAAAGCTAAACTAATTGAAATGAATGGAAATGCACAGGAAACCAATAGTGATGAAAAGGAAACTGGGACTCAAATCAAAGGAGTGGACCAGAAAGAGGAAAAAAATGACCAAACAGAAAAGGATGAAGAAACAAGAATTCAAAAAAAATGAGGAGAGACTTAGGAACTTCCAGGACATCTTTAAACATTCCAACATCTGAATTATAGGGGTACCAGAAGGGGAAGAGGAACAGCCACCAGTGGAAAACTTATTTGAACAAATAATAAAGGAGAATTTCCCCAATCTGGCAAAGGAAATAGACTTCCAGGAAATCCAGGAAGCTCAGAGAGTCCCAAAGAAGTTGGATCCAAGAAGGAACACACCAAGGCACATCATCATTATATTAGCCAAGATTAAAATGAAAGAGAGAATTCTAGAAGCAGCAAGAGATAAGGGGACAGTCACCTACAAAGGAGTTCCCATCAGACTGTCAGCTGATTTCTCAAAAGAGACCTTACAGGCAAGAAGGGACTGGAAAGAGGTATTCTGAGTCATGAAAACCAAAGACCTACAACCAAGATTGCTCTATCGAGCAAAGTTTTCATTTAGAATAGAAGGACAGATAAAGTGCTTCTCAGATAAGATCAAATTCAAGTTCATCATCACCAAGCCCTTACTATATGAAATGTTAAAGGGACTTACCTAAGAAAAAGAAGATAAAAAAGATGAACAGTGAAAGGACAGCAAACTCACAGTTATTAACAACCACACCTAAAACAAAAGCAAACTAAGAGGACAGCTAGATCAGGAGTGAACCATAGAAATGAAGATCTCATGGAGGGTTAGCAACAGGGGAGTGGGAGGAGGAGAAGGGGGGAGAAGGTACAGAAAATAAATAGCATAGATGATAGGTAAAAAATAGATAGGGGGAGGGTAAGAATAGTAGGGGAAATATAGAATCTAAAGAACTTGAGACACGCATTCATGAACTAAAGGGGGAAGAATGGTGGGGGAGGGGTGTGCAGGGTGGAGGGGAATGGAGGAGGAAAAAATAGAACAAATGTAATGGCATAATCAATAAAAAAGTTTAAAAAAGAACTGTTGACAATTTTCTTAAAAAAAAAAGAAAATTTTCAAAATAAAATGTAGGAAAAAGGGTGCTACTGCCTCTGTTTGCTTGCAGTTAATCAGAAAACTCTCAAAAGATAGTATCCACATTCCACGGTTTTTTCTTTTAGATTGAGTAGCTTCTATTTATTCATTTAGTTGACAAAGAGTTGTGGGGGGCCTGTTATATAGGTCTGTCCAGAAAGTATCCAGCCATACACTATGAAAAATAGAGACATTTATTGAG